TTTTTTTTTTTTTTTTTTTTTTTTTTTTTTTTCTGCGAACCCCAGAAGGAACCCTCAGCTGTCTCTTTTTCTTTTTGGTGGGACAGAGGCCCAGGGGAGGCGGGGAGTCAGGGAAAGGGCCTGGCCAACGCAGATCAGGTCCCGGGGGAATTTCTGCTCCTGTCTAACCCTTCATGGCCTCTCCTTTCGCAAGGCTCCTTCATGCTGCCCTCTGCCCCCAGAGGCTGATTCCCAGGACAAAGTGGGCCACCTAGGGACAAGAAGGTGGGGACAGGTAAGGAAGAACTGAGAAGGAGGTAGCTCAGCGTAGCTCGGATGAGACCAAGCAGCGGGAGAGGGCTAGAGAGACAAACTGGGGAGGCAAGAGACAGTAATCAGGAAATTCATTGCCCAAAGGTAGGCTGGTTCTGCTGGAATCCATGCACCAAGGAGGCAGGCAATCAGGAAGGTTAATGACTTCTTTTTATAGGAGGCTCCAGAATAACAGGCTTCTCCTTCCTAAATTACCCACCTCCAGCCTTTTTGTCCCCTCTGGAGCCCCAATAGCCATCCCAGCCTCCATTTCCCACCCTACCCCCACTTCTTGACTCCCCATTTCCCTGGCACAGCTCCCAGCAGTTTTCCCCAGGCTCTTGGCCCTGCTGCTACCCACTCACAACTGTCCTAAACCCTTCCCTGGCCTCAAGTCAGCTAGAACCCGGCATAGGCAAGGACTTGCTCTCAAGAACCAAGAATTACCCAGTGGAGGGAATCCCCACCTGGCTCCCTCCTTGTCCCTGTTGTGCCCTGAAAACCTAATAGTTCCTGGAATATCTAGTAATCTTTGATTTCTCATTCTCCTTGGGGTGGGGAAATTGCCTAGGAAGCACAGTTGCTGTCAGAGAAACTGAGCAAATGATTCCTTTGGTTCTGGAATGGAGAGGACTCAGAAAAGAGGTCTTAGGGTAGACTCTCAAGACAAAGAAGTCAAGGGTTCAGAAGTCTGGGGCAGTTTCTACTCACACCATTCCATGGATACTGTTTCCCCAGGAAATCCCCAGGAAGGAGAATGTAGTCAGCAGTCACTTCCCCTTCCCAGAGAGGGACCACCTCCCCCTGACCCATCCCCTTGTTCATTCTCTGCCTAGTCACCTCCTGTTCCCCACATCATATCCACCAGAATACTTCCTCTCCTCCTCCCTTCCTGATCAGGTCACTAAAACCTGCCCTGGTGCCCATCACTTCCTGGATCACCTACCCATTGCGATTGCTACACCCACTTTTGACCCACTACACACCCTAACCCTCTCTGGTCCTAAGTGGAGAGGGCTGGGGCTGGGCTGTAGGATCACACAAGGGATGGGGGCCAGAGGGGCAGGGGCAAGAGGAGCTATCACCAGAGGGCTCTTACTGCCCCTTTCCATCCCCCCATCTGAGATGAGGACAATGCGGGTGACTAAGCAGAGAAAGACAAAGGGCCTTAGAGGAGCAGCCCCAGCCCTTGTGTGTGGGGGGGTATGGCAGGGAGAAGGCACAAAAGACGCAGTGTCCTAAGCAGCCCCCCAGGAACCCTCACTGAAGCTGCCCCCTGAGGCCACACAGCTCAGAGTCTATCCTGATTTCTAGGCTGGATTAAATCAAATAAATGCAGCCCCTCCCACCCCGATCCTATCATCCCATTTACTGTGTTTCAACTATAGAAGGAGACAGAAAGCCAAGGAAAGGGTGAGGAATGTGGAGGGTAAGGGACTAAGCCTCTGCCCTCGCTCTGGGGGCTCGCAGGTCCTGGTCATTTCCCACAGACAGGGATGTGGCCCCACCCATTGGTATGGTTCCCATTAGGTCAATTCTCAGGGTAGAAGTCTGGCTTTCTGCTCTTTCTCTGCCGCAAAGAATTCTCTGTCGTTGCCACTCCCCTGGCCTGTCTGTTCCACCCTGCTACACTGCTGGTGGGCTGTGTCCCAGGGACCCTGTCTAGGGGAGACCTAGAAAAGGCTTCTTTCCAATCTCAGGGTGGGAAAGTTGTATAAACTTGATGGGTGGGTGGGCCAGCTGGAGCTGGGTTGGAGGCAGAGGGAAAGACAGGAACTGGCCTTCAAAGCAGATAAAATCTTCATCCGTGTGGATTGGGTTCAGAGCCCTGGTACCCTTACACTTTTATGCTGTTGGCCACTACCGGGAAGGACTGTGGCAGGACGGGAGAGACATGAGGGAAAAGACTGGTCAGGATAGACTTGGAGCATGAGGCATTTCTGAGGGCGCTGACCTGGCCTGTGATTCAGGAAGCTCTGAGGATGTCAGGGTCACCCACAGAAGACCTCCCTTCCCCCACAGACACCCACCCCCCGGGTCTGGGATGAGGTAGCTCTTCACACTCCAGCACCCCCCCCCACCTCACCCCATCCGCACCCCTCGCCGCCAAGCTGGTGGCCTTAGACTCTCTCTCCAGGATCTCGCTGTATCGTTCAGGCTGGTCTTGAACTCCCTATGTAGTCCAGGCTGGCCTCGAACACATGGTGATCTTCCAGCCTCTTGAGAGCAGCAGGGATTACAGGCAGGCATGTGCCACCAAGCACGGCATCTTTGTCTTTTTTGTTGTTGTTGTTTTGTCTTGGTTTGGTTTGGTTTGGTTTGGCAGGAGCGCTCAGACCCGCCCAGCCGCAGTTGAGCCCCTTTTCCTTAATCCCCATTCGTGGCATCTGGAAATTAGCTGGCTTTAGCTGCTCCAAATCTTTTGTATTCCCTCTTAGGGAGGTAATTGGCAAGGGAAAGGCTCAGACACGATTTTCGCAGAGCACAACTACGGCTGGAAGCAGCCAAGGCAGAAGAGAGTGGGAAGGAATCTCCTAAGTAGGCGTCGAGGAGGGGCTGGAGAGACCACTTGCCCTCAGTAAAGATGACGGCAGTTACCGTTATCTAAGAGTAAGTGAAGCCGAGACGCAGAACCCGGAAATTTTCAGGTTCTGATTGACGGCTCTGCCGGCTTCCAGTATTGCGTTCCCATGTTCTACGGGAAGCCCACAAGGAGGCGCGCAGGAGTCGCTTCCGCCCGCTTCTCCTTCCCGCAGGCTGCAGCCGGGGCAAGATGGCGGCGCTGAGGGCTCTTTGTACCCTCCGTGGCGTCGGGGCCCAAGTGCTCCGGCTCGGGCCTGGGGTCCGACTGCCTGTTCAGCCCAGCAGGTGAGACCGAAGGTAGCCCTTTATGCGTTTTTCCCAAGGGTAGAGTTTCTCGAACCTGAGGACACTCCGTGGGCCCTGTGACCGAATGACCCAGGCCTGTAACCCTCTCACCAGGCCTGATTTTTCACGTTCCAAAACGCTGTGGCGCCCACTGCGGCCGAAAAAGGGAAGAGGGTTTTGAGCCCGTTTTGCAAACGTGAAATTAGTGGAGTGAGAGACCCTGCCCTTCAACTTTAGTGATTTATGTGCACCTTTCCTCAAGAGCTCAGTAGAGGAGCTAGAATTTCCCCATTCATTCTCTTTCTTTCTTAAGTTGCCTTTAAATAAACACCTTTTTCACATTCATATTCACCTGGATTATGATAAAAAAATATGAAGGAGCTAGGATCCCCAAACTTACATGCACAAGGGTGATGGGTGAAGTGAATCCTGAAATGAGTTGGTAGTAGGGTTGAACCTCTAGAGTTCCGGCTTATTTTGACTGTTAGTAACTTGGCATTGATGAATGCAGGACATCCTTCATTGAAACCTCTTGACAGTAAATGGGAGTGGAGGAACCAAGCATTGTTCAGTCCCTTTTTCTTAGATCTGTCTTTAACTCCTTAGAGGTGCTCGGCAGTGGCAACCCGATGTGGAATGGGCAGAGCAGTTTGGGGGTGCTGTCATGTACCCCACCAAGGAAACAGCCCACTGGAAACCTCCACCTTGGAATGGTGAGTGTCCAGAGCTGCTGTCTCAAACCAAACCCATCCCTGCTCCAAGCTGATTTATTTTATTTTATTTTTTATTGGTACAAGGGATCGAACTTGGGGCTTGTGCTTGTAAGTCAGGCAGCAGAACCACTGAGCTAAATCGCTGGCCCTACACTGATTTCTAATTGCATTTGAACCCTTTGCCTGAAGCAAGTTTTATAGCCCCTACCCCTCCCCTTGCTTCTTTTACCATACAATGAACATAGTACAGTAAAATCAATAATAACAGATACTTGTCAGGTGAAAGACAGAAAGCCTCCAGAAAAAAAGAAAGAGTTGGTCCCAGCCAATACCAAAAGGTCCCTAGTTAAATCCCCAGGTTTAATTTTTTTTCATTAAAAACTTTTTTTTTTAAATTTTCCTTAGTACTTGTTTACATTCATCATGGGAAGTTGGTACATGTACATAACATATTTTAATTCCTTTTTCATCCCTCCCCATCTCCTGGTTCCTTTCCCTTTTGCAAAAGCTCTATTTCTGTTTCTTATTACCTATCTCTTTAACTTACTTATACCTTGGGTTTGTCATGTAAGAGAAACCATTTGATATTTAAGCTGTCTGATTTATTTCACTTAACTAAAGGTCTCAAGGTGCATCCATTTTCTTACAAATGACTCAAATTTATCCTTAATGGCAGAGTAGTACTTCATTGTGTAATAAACACCACATTTTCTTCATCTGCTGATGGACATACAGACTGCTTCCAAGATTTAGCTATTATGAATTGTGCTGTAAACATTAGTGTGCATACATCATTGTAATATGATGACTTTTTCTCTTTTGGGGAGATACCTAGAAGGGGAAGGATTTAAATATTTAGCAAAATCTTTTTTCATTTGCCTCTACGGACAATGTGGTTTTCTCTTGGCACGCAAATGACACCTAAAGCTGGGTGTGGTGGCCTGTAATATTAGCCCTCAGGAGGCTGAGGCAGGAGGATCGCTGTGAGTTCAAGACCAGCCTGGGCTACTTAGTGAGTTCCAGGGAAGTCTCAACCACACAGTGAGACCCTGTCTCAAAAAAAAAAAAAAAAAAAAA